GGCCTCTTTACCGAGGTCCAATCTCACTGCCCGTTTCAAAAATGCAATTGTCTGAAGTTGTTTTTTATACCGTCAGTGTCCGTTTAGTTGGTCAGAATGTCGCATTATGGTGGTCGAAAATCATCGCAGACCAGGAATGATAGTGTCCGTTTTAATATTAGGTATATACACGTTCAATAATTATGGAGGTGTTGCCTTTTTAAAAGATACTGTCATTGACGTCATCCTTTGTCGTAGTGCACCTCTTGGTTTTTTCCAATTTGGTCTGGGGTAGATTAACTTTGAAGAAATTATGGTTTGCACTTAGCAATACCTGCCACAGCAAGTATTGCTGTTGTGATTGATGATTATGACCTAATTTTGGAATAGGAACTGTTTCTGGTGCATCCATAAAACATATGGCTGCATGTAGGGAAATAAATGGCACATATCGACAGCCAAGGTGCGAAACGTCGTATTTCTTTTTGCAACGTCGCAAGACTTTAATTTTTCATCGAAAATCTAGTCAACTTAATTTTTTGAAAACTCTCTCGACTTTCCTTCTTTATTGGCAGAATAGTCCGGAGATTTCAAGTCATATTGTAGTTGACTTGTTTCTTTTTGAAAAAATAAAATAGGAGTAGAGATTTTAAAACACCGCAATGGAGATCTTTGGTTTCGCACTTTAGCCATTGATATGTTCTCCCTAAACTGAGCTGTAACAAGTGATTCTCTATTGCGAAATGCAGTCATTTTGAACCATTTTCACTAATTATCAGAATGTATTTTATATGTAGCCTGTTCGACAGAAAACTGATTATCTGAAAATCTTCCATCAATAAGTATTGTCATCTTCGTCTTCATCATCGCCATCATCATCATCGTCGTCATCATCATAAGCTATAGCAGCATCAACATCAACATCATCGTCATCGTCTTCATTTTCATCAGCGAAGACATCGTCATGTTCTCCAGCGTCATCTTCATCATTATCATCGTCGTCGTCTTTGGCGCATTCATCTTCATCATCATCATCATCATCATCGTCATCATCTTCATCGTCATCATCATCATCATCTTCATCATCATCATCATCTTCATCATCATCATCTTCATCATCATCATCTTCATCGTCATCATCATCATCATCATCATAATTTGGACTTCATTTAACAGAAAAAACCAAGTCAAATTCATTTATAACCTTCTTGTCTTTCTACAACAATTAGTGAACAAAATGAACTTCTGAGTCTACATTTAAATCAATACAAATTTTTGTTGGTCTCTAGTTTTTCGAAAGGAGAATCTCGTGTAATTTTTGCGCTGATTCTTCTTAAGGATGTGACTTGGTTCCTCTCTGTAAAATTCAGTCCATCTCATCGTCATTCGTTCGTCGTCATGTAGCAACACAATTTCACAATACCCTTCAGAAAAAAAAAAAAGGTTAGGAACCCTTGGTAAAGACCAAAATCCATGGCATCTTATGGGGATACTGCTCAAACGGGTGAGTGTCATAAATGAGGATTACGGGCAAAAATTTGGGCAACGGTGTTTTTTTTAAAAAAAAACTTCAATTAAATACGAGCTTTTGAAAATGAAAGACCTAAAAGCATTAGGATTGCGTAAAATAATAACAAAACTTCTTTCAACCAGAAGCCGGCCCAGGTGAAAATGTCTGACTTTGCTTGTAGCCTTGGAAGCTTGGTTTCCTTAAATTTCCCTCAATGCTCTTATTTAAGATAATCCTTCACACTAAAAAAATACTTACCTCAAGACGTACCGAGTATTTTGCGAAAAAATTATTTGAATTTCGCGTCAGTTAAAACATTAGAAGAAAAGCCATTATTTTTACCAAGGACACCTAACCTCCTAGCTTATTTTTTGGCGGTGAAAGGTATGGGTAGGTGATATTGCATGTAGCCTCCCTCGTTTATCCATCCGAAAAGGCGCACTCAGGAATATTAGAGGAGACCGAGTCAAGTTCAATATTCATATTTTACCGGCGGACGACTTTTACAACTTTTTCAAGAATCCGAAAACGCAGGGTGCAAAGTTCCCGTCGAACGCACACTTACGAGACACTTTAGGCGAGGAAAGTGGCGAGCTGACTTTTCACCCCCGCCGCCGGTTCCCCCCTCGAAATCTTCTCTCTTCTGCCGTACTAAGGAAGAACGCCGTATGAGCGTCCCGACGTTGCCGTATCTCCTTCAATTAAAAACGAATATTCTCGGAAAATGATGAATTTTTTTCTTCAAAATTTTCACACAATTTTGTTCGCGATGGAGAGTTTGCACACAATAATTGTATTGCTTCATCCGAGAGCGCCTAATGAGCTGAGTTCGCAGTATTTTTCATAATTTTCTCTGATATGGGAAATCGGAGGAAAATAGATTTAAAAGTGAGAAAATGTGCCGCCTTATGACGTCACCTGGTGGCATTTTCCATTTAAACACATGTATTTTCAGCAGATTAGGTTATTTTGTCATGTTATGTCCAATAATTTTCCCAATTCTGAAACCAAGGATATTCTCGTACTCAGTTTTCCTAGCAGTATTATTTTATAGATGAAATTCACAAAATTTAAGACACCTGCAAATTCTCTTTAAAATATGAAATATCTGAGATTGCACGGGAAAATTAAACAAAACTTTCTTTTAAAATATATGCCTTATCCGTTGAAATTTGGCAACTCTCGAATGCTCATACGGTCTTCTTCCTTAGCACGGCAGTTTTCCCGATGGGTTTTGCATGAACCCCGGGCGATTTCCTTCCCAATCGGCAAGATGGCTTCTTTCCCGCGTGACGGCCCGTATTTTTCCTCGAAGCGAGGCGGCTCGACAAGAGTGTTGGGGGAAAGGGGGGGCTGGAGGGGGAGGCTGCATTTTAGAAATCGAGTTTGCCACCGAGATCGGATGCAGATGAGTCGAGCATCGCCGCCGCCATGCTGCCGTGTTTAAGAACGCCCTATGAGCATCCGGAACGTGCCAAATTTCCCAAAACTAAATATTTTATTTGGAAGAAAGTTTTGACAACTTGGATGACATTATCCGGAATCAACCTAACCGCATTTCTCGTTAGAACTAGGAACTTCAAATATCTTGGTTAGGAGTTAATTTCAGTAATTTTCGTCGCTCGAATTGTGTTCTACACAAGATGTTTGTTAAAAAACATGTATCAGAATGTTTAACTTCGTACCTATTGGTCCATTCTCGGATTGCATTACGCAATAAGGAGCCAGTATCTCGGGCCCATCTCTAGAAGTAACTCTTTGCAGAAGGAAGCTAAAGGCACATATGTTGCTATGAAAATGGCCAGAGATAGAGCTTCCTCTCTGAAAAATATAGTTAGATTTTCTCTCGTCTATTATAAGGGACCTTCGACAAAAAATACACAACACGATGCTAAAAAAAAGTATGTGAATTTCTCTGAGGCTTTGAATTGTGTGCTCACTCAAATCCTGTTGTGAAATGCTGCTCAGTTTCCTGAAAAAAAGAGAAAATTTAGCACCATTTAGTGCACATGGGATGCCGTCTTTTTTCCTCAGTATGCCTGATACATTAGGAAAATTGCTGATAAAATAAATCCAAGAATTCTAGGCACAATTTTTTAAATGAAAAAATTGAAATGTTTTCCAGAAAATTCATATTCTATCGGAAACTAGTCGGCAATGTGTAAATTTTGTACGAAGTTCTTTCTTAAACATGGTGGCATGGCCAGTCTTATCTTTCGCTTCGTAGATATACAGCGCAGATGAGGAAATAAACACAAGACATGCTTCGAACTTAAGAATCAAAATGAAAGCTTCTTCATACAAAGATCACGAAGAACAACATGACAAGCATATTGAACATTTCCATTAAAAGGATATTGGCTAATTTTATTGTTAACTCACCAAGTCATTCAAAGTTTCCTCTTTAACTTACGTGTAAATTTAATTCAAAATCATCCAATAAGCTGCGCGAGTTATAAAAACATGGGTGGTGTCTCAATCTTTCCAGAGAGATTTTAGCAAAAGAAACTTTAAAGTAACAATCTTCGAACCTGTGCATATTTTATAATTAATGTATTCATATACCTAACTATTATGAAAATAATGCAACAAAACTACACAGTTGAATACATAACGCTATAAAAGAGGAAAAACGAAGGCATTTTTACGCGGAAAAATTATGTATACATGTATCTTATTTTATTTACAATTGTAAATTTGTTTGTAAAATTTTATTTTATAATTGTCAAATTGTTGAAATAAGTAAAAATAACACTATCGAAACTCATTTTTGACGTCAAATTTAGTAAGAAAATGTCCCACGCAATTCGGGGAATGACCCGTCACAGTGCAACTTGGTTGCTCTGATGATGAGACGTTGTCCGAAACGCGTCTGCGGGCTGATAATTGCAATTGATATACGAAACAATAGACAAAGAAGAAGACGGGGAAAAAGAGCGATCCTTTTGGTTGAAACAGGTGGTTGGTCTGGGCTAAGAGGAAATGATAGACTAAGTATAGGGTCTAGTCACCTCTATTCTCATTGCAACCACCTGTTTCAACCACTGGCATCGCTTCATTACTCCTTTGTCTGCTTTGTCTATCGCCTTGTCTATCAATTTCAATAATCAGCCCCCTGGCATTTATACAAACTGAGACGTCGAAGTTGAGTTTCTTTAGCTTTACTTTCTAGTAGCGAGGCGTGAATGATCGATTATATCGATATTGACCCATTTGAAGCTTTGGTAAAAGGTCGATTATTAAGGTGCTCGTTGCGAACACCCCGTCTATCGATTTTTTTCTACGACTTAAATGGCATCTGAATCGATCTATCGCAAAGCACGCCACGCCACTGTTACTTTTACTTATTCCATCAATACTTGTGCGGTCGTCACTCCCAACTCAAAGATATTGTCTAAGGTCGAAACTTGATTGAATACTCTAACCACGGTTCCACGAGCGCTCAGTGAGCCGTGCCTTTTCCCCTTTGTGAGGTGTTTTCAATTGTTAAACGTGCAGTTTTATTTTGCAGGGCCCTGCTTGTGCCGTTGTGCAACATTGGCAACCGTGCGTCTATACACCTGACACGCCGCCATTGACAACACAACAAGCAGAGCCGTGCGATATAAAACTCAAGGTAAGCCCAACGCTTTTCCGAGACTTAGTTTCACCACACATGTGCACCACGAGTAATAGATAAGGCTCGCTCCCCGGGTAGAGTGCACCCATAAATTATATAGCATGCATTTCCCGGCGTTTAAGGCCGCACTCTCCTAACCCAGCCAGCGTATTCGCCGTCGGGCAATTAAATTCGGGAAGTTTGATAATTGGTCCTTAGTTTGTTTAAGGCCATCAGATGGTGTTACGGCTTATTAGCCTTGAGAAAACAGATAATTGTTTGCGTGACATTCAATAGGGATGTTTGGCTCGTCCTTTTCAGTGAAAAAAAAAAATTAGAAGGGCGCATTTTGTCGAACTGGGTTGAACATTTTTGTAAGACTATTGAACCACATAACTTGATCCCAGGGTTTTCTAATTTACGCTAAATTTTTCACGTTTAAGTTTGAGGGAAAAATATTTTTAGGTACTTCTGAGCGCAACTATTGACACATTTTCTCACTCGAAAAATCGAAAACCGGAAAAAAAATATTGTTAGTTCAAGATTATGAGTTGAATGCTATTTTTCGTATCAACTTTATGAAAGTATGCGCCTCTTTCTTCAACTTCTCTTTCTTGTTTCAGCAATGTGGCATGGTTCCTTCCTATTGCACTCTCATCTAATTGCCTCCTACTAAAATATAGCATTTTCTGTGACCACAATGTGAAAATTCATTTCAAACATAGTTTGTGTTAATACTTAATATTCTTAAGATACTTAAGATTGGAGAGTTGTCAAATTTCCTTCAACAAAAGGTTTATTTTTGAAGGAAGTCACGAATATTTTTCCTTTAAATATCCAGGAACTTCAGGGAAAATTGCGGACACAATTATCTGAAACATTGGAAGGAAAATGTTCATGAGTTACCTAGAAATTTGTATTTTATCAAAGGAAATTTGGCAACGCCACGAGGGCTCATACTGCGTTTTCCCGTGCTAAGGAAGAACGCCGTATGAACATTCGAGAGGTGTCATATTTCCTTTGATTAAATGTTAATTTTTGAAAAAAGTTATGCATGTTTTTTGTTGGAATTTTCAGTTATTTTATACTAAATTGCGAACAAATTGTCTGAAAAATTTGAAGAAAAATATCCATAGGTCTAACAGGAAATTTGCGTTTCATCGATGGAAATTTGTCAACGCCTGAGGGTTCGTACGGCGTTTTTCCTTAGCGCAGCAGTATGCGTCGGACGTGAGCCCAACTTCGGATGCGAGTAATGTGAGCTTTCATTGTTTCTCAAACTCGGGGTGATTCAATTTAACCGCACTGACAACTACACGTGTACCCGCGGCAGCCGGATGTCAAATCGCGAAATCCCCCGGGTCGACGGTCCTCCGACGTAAACGCCTATCTCAATTCCCGCGTGAACTCCGCACTCCGTATAAATCCATGCTCGCCAGGGCTCATGTGTAAATAGAGATACGTCCTTATGTCAAAGGAGCGACGAAGTGGAGCTCAGGGGAGTCGGCAAGCACGATTAGGCAACGTTGGAGACGGGTGGGAGCCCCGCCCTCTTCTGTGCTGAGCAAGAACCACGTAACTGCAATGGTATCCTTATGTGAGGTTGCGTTGTTTTTGATGAGCATGGTAACGTTCGTGCCCGGCACGCAATCGGAGCCGCACGCGAAAACTCGCCTACTCGACTCGGTCCAACTACTCGCCAATCTTGATGTTATAAATTGTGTCGCAGTGTAACTCCCATGCTGGCTGATTATTGAAGTCGATAGACATAAGGAAAAAGGGGGAATGGAGCGATCCTATTGGTGGGAGCGGGTGTTTGTAATGGCCAAAGGAGTGAAGTACGGTAAAGCATAAACACGGTGACTTCATTCCACATTTTAAATTTTTCTTCCGCATGATTTTCCGCATTTCTCCCTACACTGAAGAGAAATATGCACTCACGCTGCCGTGCTAAGGAAGAACGCCGTATGAGCATTCAAGAGTTTGCCAAATTTCCTTTGATAAAATGTTTATTTTTTAGGAAAGTTATGAATATTTTTCCTTTGTATTGTTGCGGGGAGGTCAGGAAAATGACACAGACCACAAATCACTCTCGAATAACATATCGACGGTGCAAGTCGGCAATCACATAACTCGTTTGCGGTGTCTGAAAATCTCCGCAACTATGTTATTTTTTTAAAGGAGAACAAATAAACATGATTCCTTGAAGTTTTTGCAGAATTTTCCTCGCACATAGAAGAAAAATCACGGCAGTTTTAAAGAATTACCGTTGAGTAGTTTTGCGTTTAAAAAATAAAGTATGACAGGAAGTCTGCGACGTCGCAAACCGAGTTATGTGATTGCCGACTTTCACCGTCGATATAATGATCACAATAAAATCTTACATTAACAAAACACTCTGAAAACTGACAATACTATAACTTGACGGGCCTCTCACGGGGGGACTGACCGGACCATCCGGGAATCTATTCCTCGCGACTGATCTCGCCCATGCGATCACCGAATCTTTTTATGTCAAAACATGTGCGCTTCCGCGACACTGAAGCTTCACGTTTAGACATAAACAAGCGCCAACTTCCGACGGACCTATCTCTATCGCTGGCCATGGAAATCCGTGAATTCTCACGAAAAGCCATGACGCAAAGCACGCCTCATCTATGGAGCCGAATGTGGGGAACTTAAGCCTGTAAAGACTTAAGCGTTCCCACAACAATATTTTCAGAATCTTTAGGTAAAATTGGGAACTGAGTCATCTGAAAAATTGGGAAGAAAATATTCATACATTTACTAGGAAATGCTCATTTTATCAAAGGGAAGTTGGCAACGCCTGAAGGTTCATACTGCGTTTTTCCGTAGCACGGCAGCACGCTTCGTAAAGTATGGTTGGGAACCGCATACAGACTGTCAAAAATTTGATGCCGACCTAAGAATAGAGATAGAGTCCATTTTAGTATGGGCAAATATCACATACGAATGATATGGACTCCGAGTTCATACCGTATGGACCCTGCGTCCATACCGTATGAACAGTAAGTTCATACACCTAATTTTCCATACACGACATGTTTAATTGTTGACGGCACATCTCTGCTCTAGTCGTGGAAGCCTGACCGTATGTTCGAGCAGTTCATACCTTAGATATTCCAAGCAGTATGGACTCTCACCTTTTAACCACTTTTTTCAGTGTAGTACAAGAAAATACAATTGCCACAGTTTATTTTTTTTTTCATCCTGAGCTCCTGATAGTATGACGGAGTCGACTTAAAACAATGCACTATGAATATTTGTTGTTTTTTTTGTAAAACAGCATTTTGTCAGGGAAAAAGTGAAAAGTGTTGAATAGAGATATGGTGTTTTTGCTTTGGACGGCCGTGTAGTTAGACAAACGGCGAACGGAAAGATGCTAAGTTGATAGCAACTCTGACATGCAACTGTTCTCGTTCGAGGGATGGCCGTGTTGCACCCGTCTACATTGAAGGCGTTTAAGGTTTCCTCAAGCTGAACGACGCGTGGTGACGGTCACCGTTTTTCAAAGCTCGATTAGACGTCCCTTAGTGTGAGCTTTACACTACTAATCATTGAATATTCGCGCTTGTTTATCTGTTAATTCGGTGATCTGGCGCAACTTTTTCACCGCTGAAACGCGGCTTCTCCAGAAACGACACGGTCGAAACCGATTTTTTAAAAAAACATTAACCACTCTAGACAAGGTACGAATTTACGCATTCTAAACATGACACTTGACCAAACTTTCACTCAGAACACGATTCGCGACACAAAAATTACTGAAACTAACTCCTAACGAAGATATTAACGTTTTTATTTTACACTGGTTACGGGAAATTTGAACTGCCCGCCCACAAGAAACCCAAAGCTCTACGTGAGTCAAGTCGCGCTTTACAACGGTTTCGGCAAGCTTCTCAACCGAGCAATGTTCATTTCTCACCCTGTGTTGTTCAAACTATAAAAAATTCGCTGTAGCTGAGCCAAAACGTCTAGATTGAGGTCGCCAGATTTTTATATCGCAGAGACTGTCATGGTCTCGTTTAGCGCGCGATGTGACTCACGTAGAGCATTGATTTTTCATGAGCGGGAGGTTTGAAATCACGCATCTTGAAACATTGAATATCATCGTTAGGCGTTGATTCCAGTGATTTTTGCTACGCGCATCGAGTTCAACGTAAAATTTTGGTAAAGTCTGAAATTAAGTTGGTAAAGTCTGATAAGTCTGAAAAATTTTATCTGAATGCTTAAATTTGTAACTTGTCTAGTGGTCCATTGAAAATATATGTATTTTTTATAATTTTGTTCGCAATCGGATGACGAAAAACGATAGTAATTAGCCAAGCTCGTGCTTTCTGGTTACTAACAGGGTATGAAATGGCATTTTTCAGTCTTTTTTTAGTGGTTCCGATTACTTATTATTTTCGTTATCTGGAGCGGCCCTCCGCCACATTACACCGAACGTTGGATGACTTACCGTGTTTAAAAATCCTCCACTTTTTTCAAAATTATCCATAATCATCATTCTTTTGAAAAACAATGAAATGCTGCACCAGCAATTAATTTTGCGATGGCAAAGAGATGAAGAGTACGATCAAGAGATGAAAGCATTCCATACGTAAAAACATGTAAAATATTCATTACGCGAAACATTCTGCTACCTTGCGTGGTGACGCATAAAAACACAAATCAAAAAGTCCAAAAGCAAAAGTGTAGGAGTTAGTCCTTGTCTATTTTCACTTGTTCCCTGCATCACTTCCGGGTCGCTCCACGCTTTTGCAATTTAAATACATAATAGACAGTTATTTATTTACGTGAAACCTGCGCTGTCCGTCAAAGGATAATCTGAAAAATGTGTTGAACGTTTTGCGTCCTCTTAGCTCTTAATTTTTTCGTGTAATTGGAAAAGCCAAACGCAGAAGAACTTTTTTCTTGCCAGTTCTATTCCGCGTTGTTTAATCGCTCCAGAGTTTTTATCTCACAATTCAGTTCATGCTTTTACTTGCAATGGAATC